CGGAGGAGCGGGAAGAGGCGGGGCGAAGCTTGCGCTCCCCGGATGCTTCCTCAGCCCGGAACAAGGGAGCAGGCCTTTTTGGGGAAGGAGTTACTGCCTTAAAAAAAAAAAAACAAACCATTTTTCACATGTATCCCCTTACAGCAGCGCCCTAAAGCCTAGACACTGCTGCCCCTTGGAGGTGGGTGATCAAAACTAAGCGCCTCCCACCCAAGTTTGACGGGCAACAGGAAACAAATTGACGTTGCAGGACTGGACCCCATGAAATCAGACTGGTCATCTTAAACGGACATCGAAACTTCACGTTTTAATAGTTATTTAGCAGTAGTACCTGTACTGTGCTAAATTACTGAGTTTTAACTAAGCAAGGAGACAATGTTCGTTTTCTTCCTCCAGACCCAGGTAACAACTTTCTCTGGTTTTGAATTGTTTCTGTTTAAATACAGAAAGTTACTTGTAGACTAACGGATTGCAAAGAAAGTGGGTTTTAAAATAAGGTGACTTTCAGGTCCAGCTGGAGCACAAACAAGCATCTCTCAAGCTTCAGAGTAGAAACCTCAGTTCCTACTCTTAAAAAAGACACCTCGCAACCATTAAATCTTTCAAATGTTCAATGAAATTAACACATTCTGATTTGACTTACACTAGGTGAATCATACTCAAGAAAGCTTAGAAAACATGGTAACAGAAGAGATCGTCTTTTTATTTTAGAAGAAGGAGACAAAACTGGAGCTGTGCACAACAGAAGTAGTGGTTAAGGTTGATTTAAATGTTGTTAATAGAACTATTCCAGTACACAGAAAGGAAGCAAAACTTGGCATTTCTGCTTAAATTCTAACACATACTGGTAAAACTAATGTTTTGCAGAACATTATAAAATTAAGTTATAGAAATTTTAAAGTTATAAATAAAGACAATATAAAACAGATCTTGTATCTTTTAATTGTAGTTAGAGTAACATTTCCAACTTTTCTTGCAAATTTGAAGATACATACACAGAAGAAACAAACGAAAGAGTTGAAGGAAAATAGCACCAGTCTTCTGTAGTATGGAAATGGAGAGCTTGACACTTCCTCCCCTGTCCCCCACCATTCTAAAATGAATTTTAATGTTGTAAGATCTAGCACTTCAAGCTTAGGGAAATCGCAACTGAGAAACTGCTTAAAAGTCTCGTCCAATTCAGAAATGCTACATTTTGCTATTTGACAGAATTCTGGATACCAAAGTTCCCTCTCCTGAGCATCACAATCTAATCACTGCTTCTCCCCGTACGAGATACACTCAGTAAGCGCCTATAGTCTCTTCCCTGGGCTGCACCCGAGTTGCACAGAATTCACATTCTTCAATGAAAAGCTTTCAAATGTCACACACCTGCCCCCAAACACATGCGCAAACTCAACTTTAAAGCCATCGTTGTTTCCTACTACTTTAAAAAAGTTGTACAAGACACGGTAACAAAACATCAAAAGAGTAGTTCATCTTAAGTTATTTACTTCTCCTGATTTATTCACACACTAATGCATTGTCTTTATTAAAATTACGCAGAACCTTTGTAGTGGAAAGTGTTTAAAGTGTTCATTGCTCAATACAGGTATGATTTGGCTGACTTTCAACCCATTATTTGAGACCTCTGCACAGCTCCCTGGATATTGATACTTCCACCAAGTCTTACACGTTTGCTTCTTCTAACAGTCGGTCTTGGAAAACTTCCTTTGGGTTATCATACCTCACTGAGACAGGAGGGATCCCTTTTTTCTTCCCTCTTTTAGCAAGAGGGAAGTGAAAGAAGGGAAGAAAAATCTCTCAAGTTGGAGGGGAAAAAAAATTGGGAATGATTGGGCAGCAATTAGGGAGACCACCTAAACATCATTCACCGCTTCCTATACATTGATTTTTCTTAACATCTGTGAAGCTTAACACCTCCTCAAATTACTGTTTGCTACTAATCACAGTCACTACTTTACCTACTTTTCAATACTTACTCAAGTATTAAGCCCTTAAGTACAAAAAGAGTCCTCTGAAATCACTGAAACTGTACCTGTTTACACTTCAGGGGAACGTGTCCCATTTCTTATGTCTTTTTCCCTTGAAATATTCAAAGAGGGTAAGAGCCATAGAGAGGAGAAAATATGAACTGTGGAATACATACAACACAACCTAGAGTAATACTGTTCCTACAGTATCTCGTGCAGACGACTTTTCCATAAACACAACAGGATGTTTAAACATAAGGCAAACGGACACTGGAGGCCACTAAAAAGCTCATCTGTGTATTTCCCTTTAAGAATTAAAAGTCCAATTTCATTTAAGTGCTATAAAAGTAATCCTAACACATAATATTGTTAAGAATTATATTTTTAAAAAGCTTTTGTTATCAATGCTTGTTTGTCTAACAATCTGTTTACAGAATTTACATTTTTATGCTGAAAGTAGATTTTTTTAAAAATTTATTTCCAGAGAGACACAGTTTACTACAAGTCTTACTACAGTTGATTGAGCTGGTGCTTCAATAGAATTGTAGTCTGCTACTTAGTATAGCAGCCACTGGTTTTACAATCCTTAAAACAGTAGAATTCCTAAGGCAGATTTGTCAGCAAGCTGTAAACAAATAATTTTCCAAGACTTACTGGCCATAAACAAAGTGACCTTTAGTCCTTTAGGATTTAAATTTCTCTGCCAAATTGGAATTTTGGAAACTGTGGAATCTACTTCCAAATTAATACTCTGGAGCAGTTTGGAAACTTGTCTCTGAGGAAGAGTCAAAATCTATTTCCAACCCAGACTCATCAGAATTTGGGAGAGAATTAGGATAGGCGTTTAAGTCTGAATGCTCCTGCATGTTAGCAGAAGCATTTTTCATAGCTGAGTGCATGAAGCATGAAGATTCCCAGAGCCAGGTTTCAAGGTCCGCAGAAGAGTGAGGCGTTTTAAGGTGGCAGTATGAAGAATGAAATTCCATAGTAGATGGGACAGTTTGACATTTTCTTAGTGATGCATAATTGTCTTTCCTGTTTAAAAAAAGAAAAAAGATTATTAGTGTTTCAATGACGTTTCTATTACTGTTCAGATGTCTAACAGGGAATCTTCATATAAGGAAGAACACTAGAGGAAAATGGTTAATTCTAAATGCATTTAGTGAGTTAGGATATGGGACAACAGGAAAAGGATCTTGAGACAATCATATCTAGAAGAGGGGCACTCTGCCATTATGTGTTGTCTTCAGAAGTAGGTATAAAATGGTTACACTAAAAGTCACACCGTTCTGATGAGCTCAGAAGGGTAGACCCAGTTTGTACATTATCCCTTAGTCCTGATCTCCCTCCAGCTATCCACTTGGAGTATTTGCCGATTTACCAATCACAGCACTAACTGAACGTTAACAAGAAGAGTCTCAGCATTTACAGGTTGAGTAGCAAATAGAGTTGTTCAACTTCCCAAATGCCATCTCTGCGTTCCACTTTACAACCAACTAATTATCACCAACCTGAACAGCTGGAACAGAACTCTCCTGGCACTCTAAAACAGCACCTGAATCACCAGGTTAGTCTTTTCCAATTTGAGAAACAGGAAACTGAAGTTGTCACCAAGAATACCCTTTTTTTTTCTTTAAAGTCCTCTCTTCTCTCCTGCAGTGCCTTTGGGAAAAATCCCAAAATAACCCACAACGCCCCCTCTCACACACAACCCCCCCCCGCAACTTTCCATACTCGCACTTCAACACCAGTTTCCGTACCTGAAGTTTAGGTACACTAGAAGATACCATCCACCAGGTTAAGTTTCCTAAAAGGATTTTCAAACTGTAAACAGTGCAAATTTTCATGAGACTGAAGTTTGATTCCAAAACAGAAGCTAGATCTGACGACATAAGCGGAAAAGCGTACAAAAAGGTGGGGGATTACTTTCTGCAAAAGCAGCAGTAAGTTCTTGGCAGATGCTGAAACAAAGTACAAGCCCACAAAGAGTCACCTGTAGAATACAATGCAGAGTTCTACACACAGAGCCTTGGGACCTACCTACCCGAAGAGGGAATCCACTTAAAGGAAGGCTTCAGAAAACTTAGAAGTTTGACAGTGCAAACAGTTCAGTGGGAGCTGATCACCCTGAAGATACCATGAAAGCATACAGCAAAAGCTACATGACCACCACCTTCTGTTTTATGGCCAAGAGCTTCTCTTTCCACAAGAAGAGAAACAATGTTTCTGGTTAATCATGACTCAATGACCAAATAACCCCTCTGAGAAGTTACATCTGAGACAGTCTTGGGATAGTGTGCTTTCCAAACGCCCATTTCAGATGGAGATTCTCACAATTGGTAAGGCTGGAATACGAGCAACATCAAGAAGCTGCTAAATAAGGGGAAAAGCAGGAAGATGACTATACCCAAATTTATTGTGGAAATGAGTCAGAAATGTCATTAAGAAAAGAAGGAGAAAAGGACACTGGATTACACGTGGTATCAAATAACTGAAGAGATGACAGTAGGATGATAGCAAATATATACCAACAACTACATTTCTGCTCAGAGACACAGCCTCAAAAGCCAACTAGTGTTATACAAGAAAAGGCTTTAACTGATTTCAGAAAGGGAGAAGAGAGGCTCTTTGATTACAGGAATTAAACGCTTCTGAATTGTGAATAAAACTGAATATTGTAAAAAGAAAGTATCTTTACAACCTAATAGTAAAGCCACCGTTTAATATTTACAAAGCGGGGAGGAAACCCAAGCTTCAACCTCATTAAGTCTTCCATTAAGCCAGAACCTTTAACAGTAAGTTTGACTACTCTGTACTTCTAAGGGATGGAGCGTATGAATTGGGTCTTTCACAATGCCAATCCAGAACCTGGCAAAGCTTCTTATGAAGCTATGAATTATGATCCAGCAGTTCTTCTCAGACATATCAAACCTGCATTTCTGATGGGCCAGTGTATAGCACTGCCAGGGCAAAAAAGAGCATCTTTTAAGGATCTTCCTCCTTATCTAACTTTATTACTAAAAACAGGAAGACAAAAGCTCAAGAAGTCTTGGCTCGAATAAAAGGGTATTTTTCATTTTAATTTTAAAATCTGCTGTATATAGAACATGGCAATGCTTTAATTGAAGTAACTGCTGCAGTTAGGAGTCTCCAGTGCTACAGCTATCTCTCGGAAGCTTTTATGAAGCATTTATGAAGCGTTTAAGAACTCTGTTCACTCCTAATAGCTTTTCGGGCTAATTTCTCTCCCCCTTCTACCTCCCACCCAGCAACTTCAGGAGTTGAGACAATCATCAGAAAAATTAGAGTAAAATAGATATGACCTACTCTGATGAAGTCTGGATTTATGCTTTTTCAGACCAAATCTTAGGAGATTTCGTATTTATAAGCATTTGGACCTCAGAGAGAGCCTATGTTTCTCTACTTATAGCACTACTCTGACATGGCTGTGCAACTCTGTTCCAGCAACAAGTCCATTTTTTAGCAGGAAAATCTAAGCTGAATATTGGTCATACTCATTTTGTGAAAGTTTGCAGAGCTCCTTAGGGAAATACTGCACTCCCCAGCAAAAAGTGAAACAGCAGTGGTATTCTTAAATTCATACTGAGGTGAGTTGTCACTGATTCCTCCATGCACATAGTGCTACAAAGTTTAACAGAAGTAAAAAGTCTGAAAGGCTAAATCTCACCCCAGCTTGGTAAGAGAAGCATAATGAACCTACTTACAACCAGGTTAGAGTAGAAGGTTTCTCTTTCACAGAAATAGAGGTTCCTAAAAATTTTCCATATGTGTCTTATTTTAATTCTTCCCAACTGTCTTACAAGACTGTCCTTCATATTCATCTACTTTAACTATTACAACCTTTCCTGTCCAGACTCCTAAGAATCTAGTCTTTCTCCCAATGTTTTCCAGTTCCTACCTGCTACACCTGATTTAGAACATCTTGTGCAACCTTTTCCTCCTCTTTGCCTCCTGATTGCTCCAGCTACTGTGGAGCAGAGAAGAAACAAGTTCTCTGTTCTCAGTCCAATGCCTGCTCCATAACCCACCCCTCTCCCCAAAAAGCGTAAGCCTACCAACAGGCAACACCTCTTCATCTACAATATGTAGCAGTGTCATTGATCAGTTACAAACAACAAGCACCAGAAAATATACTTAAAAAACAATGCTAAGGATCAGAAGCAGTGAGAATTGTTTTGTGTTACCTTTGAGAAAATTACTGAATTCTGTTTTAAGAGAGAAACTTATTAGTACTTGAATCTCTGACAAAGAGAGAGAGAATTTCTAAAAATGCATCATTTGCATGCAGCAGCACTCCACTTTACCTGGATGTACAGAACAGCTTGCTTTTAGCCTGGGAATAAACTGTACCAGCAATTCGACAAAGTTGTTCTTGCATCCATCGAACATCCGCAGGCATGTCAGGAAACCAGTTTACTAGCCTACAATCAAAAACAAAAGACAATTGTTTTGTAAGCAGTAGATCTAATCCGCATTACGGTTTTACATATTATGTCCAACATCCAACAAAATAACACAGCTTTCATTCTCCTCAAGTTAACTCCCCCACCAAGGCCTCCCGTTCTTCCCAACCTCCCTGAATTCCCATCTAGCTCACTCATCTCCTTTCTACAAGCTAAGAAAAAGGGCGACATAGACCACTGCATCTCTGATCTATGCTGAGTGGCTGACTAGTATGTGCGTTCTACACCCTGTGACCAACATGTAGGAAGCCTGCAAAATACTCCTGTCTCCAAGACCTCTTTCTGTGTGGTAGGAACTTTCTGGTCAGTTTAAAGTTAGGCGGAAGAGAAAGGAAGGACAAAAGAAAACCACAATGGAAGAACAAATAGAAGGCAGAAACAGAGCAATGTCACAATTTTTTTTTTTTTCCTTATGACGCTCTTAACAGAAGTAAGTTACACCAGAGGGGAACGAGGGGGAAAAACCCACATGAAAATTCTGTTGAAACTTGCTTTGTCTCCATCCACCAAAAATGGCACAGAAGTGCCACATTAAGTGGCACAAAATGAAATATTTTACTAGAGTTCTATGTGGTTCCATTTACAGAACATCTGATTTTTCAAGTATTTTCTAAAGATAGTAATGACATCTGCTGCTCAAGGACTGGAATTCTCTTAAGAAAGCACAAAGCTTAGGGTTCATGGTGCATTCATTTAGCATAATTTCTCCTTTATGAGAATTGGAAAACTTATCAAATTAAGCCCTGTTTCAAGGGCACAACTTTCGGTCAACCTAAACAAACCTGGTAAGAAAATTTATATGGCGAGTAAACACTGGATTTCACTCCTGACTTCAGAAAGAAGCTAAACCACAAGAACTGTCTGGATAGAGTTCAAATACCACTGCAGAATATAGTAATAGTAATAAAGAACGTTCTCCTGGAAAACACAATCAAGGGCACTTCTCTCGAGCAACTACAAGACAGCTACTAGTAAGAAGAGTAAACTGTTTAGGAATCTTCTTAATATGTTTATTTATCTAGCCTTAGACTATAGAGGCTTTAGGAGGATACATTATGTAGGTAGAAATAATGGTCTTTGGACAGTTACCACTTGAATTCTAGAGTACCACAATGCCTACAACACTGAATAAGCTCTCAGTGAGTAAATTTCCAAAAGTATCAGAATTCTGAAGTGGTTCATTAGAAGTTCCTTACCGTAAAGCAACAGAGTAAGCGGACTCCACTGGTAGCGTATACGGTAACATCAGATAGGATATCACCCGCATTGGGAAGAGTTTAGAGAACTGAGCATAGAATCCATTCTGTTCTTTACATGCTTCCTGCAGTGCTTAAGAATAATTATTTTTGAAAAAGATGTTAGACTATTTGAAAACAGTTTAAATAATTCGCTCAAAGTTTGGTAATCTTCAGTCAACTTTATCAAGTGTTACCGAATAAGGTTCAGATAGAAAATGAAAGAATTAATCTCAAGGCACTCTTACCATAAACCTTCTCTATGCTATTTGAAAATATGGGAAACACGGACTCATACCACAGGGACAAAAGGCATTACCCAGAACTTTTAAGCAGTAAGTTTAAGAATTAATTTATAATAAGAGGATGTAAAGTTCACCTCTCCAAAAATACTTATGTATTTTAGATAGCATTGCTGTCTTTTTATAGAGTGTGTAAGGAGTTTGTTTAAATTCTAGAGTTCCGCATATGCCAGTTGTTACATGTAGTTGCAAGAAACATCACACTTCAAGTTTTGTTCTCCTAGGTCACTGGGATCACAAATTTCAGATCTTGGAAATACCGATCAGCATCCACAAGAAAACCTAGGTAAAAGTTATAGATTAAAGAAATAACAGAAGTGGGTTCAGTCTATTAACAGCTTATTAAAAAAAGACAGGAAAGCCAGAGAATTAGAAATCTACAGAAGTGTTTTAAAAATAAGGTAGGGATAACCAGTGCTTGGATTTGAGGTTCAACTTTGGTGTGAAATACATGCTTACAAAAATACTGTGCTCATACAGATTTTATCCAAAACCAAACGAGAATTCAATTCACAACTCTGCAGTGTTGAAAGTACCTCCTTCCTCCTGCTTCAATCTTATTTCTATAGCTAAATCAAAATGGGCATGTTCACATTTAATAAGTATTTAAAGAACTTTTTTGGGTTGAGCTAGTCTCTAATATCATAGGCAGTTATAAGATTAAATAAAAAGCATCTTATGCAAATTATAAGAGTAAGCGGGGGGCGGGGGAATCAAAGTTTGCCATTCAAAGTTACAGGAAACAGCCTGAAGCATGTACCTTTACGAAGTCTAGGAGGTAGACTCTCAAATATGCTCTTCTCCAAAGGCCATGGATTTTGCTTCAGCTGGTCATTAAGTACTTCCATTTTCAAAGTTTCTACTCTGTTATTTTCTGTCAATTTTTTTTTCTTCATATGGTCAATGTATTGTGCAGCCTCATGAGGATTTCTTTTTGTGAAGGACAAGTGGATATAAATTGAGTCATTCAGAATACCTGAAAGAGTCAAGAGCTTCCACTTAGGCTTGGTCCATGGGTCTTCAGAGCACCTGTACAGCACCTGTAGTCTGTGTATCTGTACAAAGGCCTATCCTGAGGGAACATTATCTACCCAATGTCAAATACACTTGCTCTTATAATCCCACAAACATTTAATCACAATGATGAATACTCTTTTGCAGATTTAGGTCTTACTTTAAAACAGGTTCTAAAGAAAAGGAAAAAGTGAACAGTTAACTGAAACTGCACTGGAAACATACAGTCATTTACCAGAGTTGTTTTCCAGCAAGAAAGCAAATGATTTAAAGGAGAGGAGGAAAAGTGATTTAATATTTATTTGAAAGAAAACACCCAAAACACACCAGACATTTGGGAAATTTGACATGCAGGTATCACAGGAGTACTTTGAGGCATTGCTACAACAGGGTGGAGAAGGAAAGCAAGTAGGGTTTTAGAAAGGAAAAGCGAGTATTGAAATATGAAAAGCGAGTAGAAAGGAAAGTGAGTATTGTTTTAGATATATCCAAAGCACAGATCTAAATCAACATTGGTTGCCTTGCAAAACTAGTGCCAATTAAGAAATAGCACTGATAATTACTTTAGAAACAAGCACTAGATAATGAGCACAAAGTGAAAAATACAAGAAGGATGTTTATATTCGGTTTCCAGAAAATCATTATGAAGTTATTTAAATATAAAGACTACCAAATTTGACTAGGATCCATACCTACATACAACAGAATCTGTATCCTACTTACAATTACTCCTAAAAGACAAATGTCAAACAAATATACAGTGAATTTAGCAAAAAGTTATCTGAAGTGTTACAGATGGGGGGGGGAATTAACTCCTACAGTTGAAATAACAAGAAAAGAGATACATAATGAATGAGTTTGGAAAGGTTATAATTATCACTGATTAAGCTCGAAGCAAGACAAACTTGTGACAGAATAAGAACAAAGGTGATCACAGGAGCAGTAGTGTGAAAAGGAGGACAATAGTGCAATACACAGGGGACGCGGGGGAAAGACACCAAGGAAGAGCTGCAAGGAGTCTCAGATAATGGTGTCAGATGGAAACATGCACACAGGAAACTTGTGGGTGCAGTACAGCAACGGAACCCATCTTAGCACAGACAGCCACAAGTTACAGGCTCTCTGTATAGCTTGTGCTTTTAATCACCTGGTAAAAAGGTATAAAGCAGGACACTCATATTAAATATTTAATAATATTTGAAAATCAAACTCTTAAGCAGAACCGTGACATTCTTTAACAGTGAAGAAAATTGTTCCAAGAAAACTTGAATATTTAATGTTCAGTTATAACAGAGTATAAGCAGTGAGCACATCAATCTATGACTGCATTACAATACTGCAGCTGGTACTATCTGTGATAGTGCAAACATCACATTTCAGTTTCCATTCCTCTAATCCGACCCAGTACCTATTTGCTTCTGCATCCAAAGACTACAGGGGCTAGGCGTATTTAACACATAGTTAACTTCAAGCTAATATCTAGTTACTCTCTTTAACTTGTTCATCTCAAAGTGTGCAGAGCAATAACATTTGTTAATATAAAATACGTTACTAGAATTCTAGGAGTAGAGCAGAGCAACTTTCAATTCTTCTTCCTAAACTTATCTGGGTCCCAACAACTGCTACATTACAAGTCATCTTCTTCTAAAGTCTTTCATGATACAGGCTAAGGATTTGTGTGTGACTGAGGTTTATATTGTTTTTACAAAGCTCCAAGTTCTGAACTACAAAACTTTACCTAGAAATTCACTTGGATGACAGCAGAGAGGAGGTGATAAGATACAGGTTTCACAGCAGTGGGAAACAATAGCCTATTCCTATCCTTCACGATTAACACTAAAGAAACTAATAATATGATTTCCCTAGAATTGGAATTCTTTGGTAATTTCACTTAACAATACCTTAACATTCACTTCACACAAATTTGACAAAAACCCCAAAAGTTCAGTTTCTGTGTGGCAGCACAACTTACCTCAGGTGAATAGTTACTACAATTATGTGATTTCTATGAGAACTAAACTTATCATGATGCCTTCAAAAACCTCAAAGACCTAGCCCCTTCTTAGCTACATACAACTCCCTCACCCTTTTTTTTTTTAAACTCAGCTTAAGACCACATAATCAGTAATTATCCACAAGTGTAACATACCATTCTCTTTCAAGAATTTAAGAGCATCTGAATATCCTTGCTCACAGATCTCTCCTAGTACCTGCAAGCATAAGGTAAATGTCAGACAAATAAAACGAGATTCAACTTAAGATCAACAGTCTGCAGAATGAAAAGCCACTTCCATCCACCCTCCATTCTTGTAAGAAAAATTTACATTAACAATTGCTATAATTCAACAGATGCAGGTTAATATGCCTACTGTGATGATACATACATGGTCATGCGTACATGAACTTATGTTTCAGCTATTACAGATGTACTAAATTATTCACCTAAAAGGACAGCATTCTAACAGTTTGCAAGAATTTCCTCCCCTTTTGTTTCTTTGACTAGCCTTTCAGCAGATGCAAGCAACAATGAGACAGGGTGCCTTGGAGTATGCCAATTCCCCTCCTTCCCTTCCAGTGCTTCCCATTTCCCAAAACTATGAAAAGTTAGCTGTGCAATTCTCATGCTCAAACTCAGACTTAGTCTTCCATATGAAAACATCTTTCACCAGATGCAACACCAGCTCACCTACACAGTAGTCCTAGACAAAAAAAAAATAAAAAAAATTAAAGCCTACATAAGTAGAATTTAACATTTTTCTTCAAGTGGTCAAAAAGCCCTCAATTAAAAAAATATATCTATAGCAGTCAGGAACATTACTTCTCTGTAGTATACCCCAAGCCAATTGGCAAAATCTGTTTTCATTTTTTCAGCTTCCACAATGGCAATTCAAGAGCATTTCCCTCATCAGATCTGCAGTTAACAGCGCTTAGCGAAATTTAAAGGCAATTTGCCTGTGTGAAGTATTGAGAACTTTACAAAACCATGAAGCTTTAGAACTTCTAAGTTCTGAAGCACCTGGTTAGCAGGTAAACATGAAAGGACTACAAACTGACAGTTATTAATTTACCAATGTTGATTTTATGATAGAATCCTGTGCTAATTCCCAAATAAATACTGAAAGCCAATAGCAGGACATGCATTTTTAGTCTGAGACTAAAAATAAGGAGAATGAAGAAAAACTATGAAAAAAATAGAAACGAGAAGAGAAACATCACCAGAGAAGTTTATATGACTAGATGAAATGCTAAGATTACTGTAGCTTTCTGCAAAAGCAAGGCTTTTATATGGAAAGACGTTTTAACTATATGAAGGCAGTGACTTA